CGAGAAGTACTACGGAGACTGGCCATGCTCACAGCTCAGTTCTAGCAACACTGTTCGTCTGGCCCTGAAACGGGTCGTCCTATGCCGGATGTGGCTTCGGTACCATGGTTGGCTTTCCGCACATTCTCTACACAGAGTAGCTTGGTATTCCCCATTTTCTCCTTTTATGATTGATACGTGGTGCTATTTACTGGTGTCTAGCGTCGTGCCAGGCAACCACCACAGGCATACATACACACCTCGATACGTGACACACCTTCCTTCCAGCAACAGTTTCCTGGCCTTGTTACCCTCACTTCACCGTCTGAGGGATTCTCACACTTCTTTTCCTCCATGCATCACTTTTTTTCGTCGAGCGGCGCTTGCGTTCACCCTTTTATTACGCCATCTCATGTCATCCCGACCACATCGCCGCACCATCGACCGCAGTTGCCAGCCGACACCACGATCGATGCCGCGCGATGAGTTCCTCCTTCTCCACTACCTCCTCCGAGTCCTACGAGTCTTGCAAACACCATTGGTGTAGCGGACAGACAGCCATGAGGGGGACGCACAACCTCACGCCAGGGAGTACTCCCCGCCACCGGTGTCGCCTTCTCAGGTTGTCGCGCGTGGAAGATACCAACAGATGGTAGCGTTCGCGCTACAACAGACGTCAACCGTCCATGGTTCATTGACGCGAGCGCATGCGTCCTCCTCACGGCAGTCCAAGCATATGTAGGAAGTCAAGGCTTCTCTTACTGTTTCTTGTGCGCGTTGTCGACGAGGACAACCGATGACAGGTCCTTCTTGTTGCTGGCAGGGCATGAGCAACCTTACAGAGACTGTCGAGATACCGGTTGGTAAGCTCCTGATGAGCTGAGGCGAGCAGCTTCTGCTCTGGCATGTTTACGGCGACTGCAGTCGACCGCGATTACTATCACCTTTGGTGTCACACGGACAGAGGAGTCTGTTAGTCAAAGGGAGTATTCCCCGCCGCCAGTGTCGTCTTTTCAGATGTACGAGTGTGGAAGAAGCCTGCGATATCGATGCTTCCTTGGAAGTCTCCGACAGGCCTTACGGTCCATGGCGTTCTTTTGGCTACAGTCACTTCCTCTCTTCAGGCCTAAACATGTGCGCATGTCATGGCCGAGTCGCCCTCAACCGTAAGCTGGTCTGGGATATGGGTGGGTGGGGGAGGTGGAGGGGAGGCAACGGGGAGGAGATGGGGAGGAGGTGGAAACACCCCCTCTCTTCCTTCTTCTGGTTCCCTCTTCTTCTGCGTCCTCGCATCTACCCACTTCCCAGACTAGCATGACGGGAGGGTGTACGACTGCGATTGCACCTAAGCTCTCCCTTCACGGACAGCCATGGCTTGCTTCGCGCTTTTGTGTTAAACTCTTCGGAGTACTTTTGGTCTACCTCATTTTGTGTTCCCGGGTTTGAGACTGGTTTGCTCCTTGTCCTCCTTCCGTTCCTGTTGGCTCGAGTTTGGCTCCCCTACCGATTCGCTCGCCTTACTGGTTTCAGGTAGAGTATCCTTTCCTCACAGGGTGGGTGGAGCAGGCAGCAGGGACAAGGTGGGGAGAATGTGGAAACACGGTCTCACTCAACCCTCTTCTTGCTGCTTCCTTCATCTGCCCGCCAAAAAATGCTTCGCGATGAGAACCTGTCAGCAAGGGAAACGGTTCGCCGTTTCCCCGCCACCAGTGTCACCCTGTTCAGGGAGGCGAGCGTGGAAGATGCCTGCGATATGGAGAGCTTCCTCGGAAGTCTCCGATAGACCGTACGGTCCATGGCAATATTGCTCACAGGCACCCTCTACCGCATGTCCCCCGATGTCTTGGCCATTGTGCAAATGGGGAGGTCAGGGAGGCGGTTGGCAGGGGATGGAGGAGAAGGTGGAAGCACTTCCTTCCATCCTTCTCGTTGACCCGTCTTCTTCTGCTGCCTCCTTCATCTTCCCGGCTGCTGCCTTCCGAGTCCCGCCTTTGAGAACCCGATGTTGCATCTTGCTTTCGGGTACGCCCGCGCCTTCAGGTACGCCTGCTTCCTTTGGATCCGTCCGCTGAGTTCGAGTTCACCTGCGCCGTCTGGATACAGCCCGCTCGTTTACGTCCATCCGTTCGTCCGACCGAATACGCTGCCGTCGAGATACCGACACGCGGACTTGTACTGCAGGGAACGTTCGCGTAACCCCGTCGCCAGTGGCACTCTTTTTAGAGGTTGCCGAGTGCGGAAGATGCCAACAGATATTGAGTCTTCCCGGCCTCTGCTCTTGTCTGGAGCAGATGGTTGGGGTTCTCTGACAGACCGTAATGGTCCCTGGCTCAACTTGCATACAAGCACCCGCCTCCCTTCGGAGGACAGTCTCTGTCCTCGCGAATGGGCTGTCGCCGCATGTGTGCGACGGCCTGTTCGTTGGGTGTTCCCGTCCATGCGTGGACTGTTGACAACAGATTGACGGATGGCCCATGGATTCTCTTAGAGAGTCCGTGGTCTGACCGTTGACAACCGATTCGACAGGGTCGCATGGACATTCGTGGAAAAACCTATCGTGTTGAACTTATTGTGTCAAACTTTATCGAGAATTTTATTGGAATCGCCCTTACGGGCACTACAGTGTGGGGGAATGACCGGAGCCGATGGGTCCCGAAAACCCCTCTCGGCGTTGATGGCTAGTACCCTTTCGTTCGTGTTGCCATCTGATGGCATATCGAACACCCTGTGTTTGGTATCCTGCCCGCGTGCCTGCAAAACACGTTGGTTTGGCGTACCATCACAAAAAACGAAAAACATCGACAAAAAAACATCGAAAAACATCGTCCTGGACTGTTGCTACGCCGGCTTGTTTCTATCTTCTCACTGCCCCTTTACGGATCAGCGGTGCTTGGATATCCGGTGTGGCAACGGTCTCTTCTTTGGTAAATTGCAGCCGCTTGCTCCTTTATGAAGTGACTGGGCTTTACCATTCGCCGAGCTCTGTCCTCATCACTGTACGGGATGGAGCGAGGCACCCCCGTGGGATTTACCTGTTGCTCTCGTGTGCGGCGGAGTTTTGACTACGGGGTATGCGTGGCAGACTGCTATCGCGACTTGACCCAGACGACGAATGCTTGTCACGACCTGTTGTTGACGTTTGCTGCGGACGACTTGTTTGTTAGCGGCGAGCTGTCGGCGACGAACTGTAGGCAACTTGTTGTTCGGGTCAGGGAGGAAGCGAGAAAATGTCTCCGGCCTTACCTTTGAGCAATGCAGCCGCCGGCATTAAGGTCTTCACCCTTTGCGCGCTGGCCACACCTCCTGTGGTTTCAGTCGCTGCAACCTAGCGGGGGACTGCTAGCGTGGACTGAGCCGGCTCATCTTTTGAACCTGGCCCGGGAGGAAGCGAAAAGTGTTCCGGTCTTGCTGTTTGTTTCCTACTTCGGTGGGGGACGATGAAGCGAGGTGTCCCGCGGTATACGCGTCGCTTCTTTTTTGTCGGCGACGTTGACTACCTGCGATGTAGCGAGGGGGCAGACTGCTATTGCGGACCTGATAACGTTCAACTTTGGTTGACGGGCTTCGGGCAGGATGCAAAGAGTGTTTGCCATAAAGGAGAAAATGGGTCGCTGGTGGGCGTGCCAGGCGATCGCAAGAGGGGGACGGGCGGTAGAAGTCGGACCCTTGCGCCTCCTCGTGGTGCTGCCTGGATAGTCGACTGCTCTCTTGCACTTGAGTTTGTGTGAGGGGGTGGAAGATGAACTAGATGCTTGGGACGCAACGATGTGTAAGTATGCTCTTTTTCCTTTGGTTGTTGCTAACGGTGGAGTGTGGGTGTGGATTGAGCAGGTGATGTGGTGTCGGGTTGGACATGGATGGCTGTTGTCTTGGGCGCTTGCTTTTATGTAGGCGCTTGCTCTTAGAGCAGAATGAAGGATCTTCTCAATTTATATGCTATCGTTGCCTTGCTTCCCGTGAACTATTGTCTTCCAATGTCCGTCTTCACCTAGACTTCCATTTTGTGCTTCCACGCGCGTGGTCAACATCACATCCAATCACAACAGCTCGCCCCTTTCACTCTCACTTTTACAAGACGCAATATTCTTCTTCCTATTGTACGACGCTCGTCTATTGTACCCAGCCATCTCAATAAACCCTGCACAATCCTCCACCGTAGGTACCATATATTAAGACTACGATCTGTTCTCCTACTACTCTCTTCTACCCCACACACCACCTTACCTACGACACATCCATTTTCCACACTTCCACAACAATCCAACAACCCACTTACCGACTACATCAACATGTCACCCACGCAATCATCATCATCACCGGTGGTTTACCACCCACGATCGGATCCTGGAGAGCTTTCCTCGCAACCTCGAAACCAGCCTGGCGGCTACAACCCGCTGTCCCCCGACTTCTTCTGGGACACAGCATACACCTTCCCCGCCCCCGTGGCAACTACACCCTTCTCCGCGGTCATAAAAACCACTCCGCGAGCCACAACGTCGGCGGCAACCCACCCCACCGCCCAAGCAGTCGATCCTCTCCGCGCTCCGCGTAGTCGGCAAACCAGCCCTGGTAGCTACCGCGCGCAGCCTGCTAAAGGCGCTGTATTCGGTAGTGCACGGTCACCGCCTCCCGCGAACCCTTGGGGCAGCGATGTCTTTGCCAGGATCAAGGCTGATGATGAGGTTGTGAGGGAGCGGGCGAAGGAGGAGAGTGAGAGGGAGGGGGGCGGGTTCCGTCCGAAGATGACGCAGACGTGGAGGGTTGGGGGTGGGGAGGTGGTTGTTGAGGTTTTTGAGGAGAGGAAGTGAGATAGGATGGGATGGGACGGGATGAGATGAAGGAGAGGGTAGTTTTGACGGGAAATGCATCAGTCTACCGAATTCTTCTTCACGTATCTTCTTCTTCTAGATATCCAACATATTACGTTACCTACACGCCCACAACCTTATCCCCAACCGCCTGCGCCATCATCCCCGCATTAGCAACACTACTCTCCAGCGTACCCCCCACCCTCATAAAATTCACCGCCAGCACCTCCAACCCCTTCTCCTCACACAGCTTCCACGCATTAAACCCCACCGATCCTTCAAATCCTGCATCTTACCCTGTTTCCCCTGCACCGCAGCCGTATACCCCTTCTGCATCTCACGAAGATCCTCCGGGCGGACTTCGATCGTACTGGCGCTACGTGCGAGGACGAATATGTAGCGGTGGGGGCGCGGGGAGATGTAGTTGGGGAGGGGAGCGGGGCGTACGTAGGGGGAGCGTATAGCGGCGGTAGAGTAGGAGAGGCTTCCTGAGGGTTCGCTGGAGAGGTTTGTGATGAGCCAATGGCGGACTTGGCCGAAGGTTGTGTCGTTGTTTGTCATGAGGTCCGGGTCGACCATCATTAAGACGAGGTTATCTAGGGTCGAGGTGGGCTGGGTGTGCGATGTTAGTTGACGTAGTGTGTAGGATCATTGAGACTGCTTGCTTACTGCAGGGTCGATGAAAACTTTTGGTTCTTCTTTCGTGTCGGCATTTTTGAGTTCTTTGCCTGGTGTGTCGAGTTTGGCGTTTGGCCATTCTAGAATTAGGTTGTAGGAGGGGTTGATGGTGTCGGGGAGGACGTCTGGTATGACTTTGTGCTCGAGTAGAGCTTGCTTTGTTGCTTTTGTGTTCGCCATCTTGTCTTCTCTTTCAGAACTATGGTAAGGCAAAAGGCACTTGGAATTTACTGCAATATCAACGCGATGTGTTTCGCTCATGTATTATACCTACCAGCAGCCACATATGCCGGAGCAAAGCGCGCATTACGAGTGTTCACGCATCATGCATTATCGCTTTCGGGAACGATCCGCTCTCGTGACTACGCAGCCAAATAGTTGCAACTGGTCTCGGTATGCTTTCTTGGGTTAGTTAATGCGGGTGTGCATCCGAAAACATATGCTGGATCGCCGTTGTGGTACGATTGTAGAGATGACGTTTTTATGACACGCATGAGATACGCGATGGACAGGGGCCAAGTGCTAGCTCCAGAATATCACCGTCGTCACTCAGACACTACACACATGGGAAGACAAGAGTAAACGACTTTAGGTATGCAGTAAAGGTAATCATAGTGTGTAGCTTCGATATGAACTCTTAGTTCTGTGCTACTTCGCGCTTAGCCGCAGCTCGTCTCTGCACTCTGTTAAAGCACTCATTTTGTAGCACGCGCCTTCACTTCCAGGAAACAACTCTACAACGAATCAACGAGTATTACCAGGCACTTCCTGTGGTTGCATCTGGTCCCCAACCAGTTCCGCCGGTCCTCGCATAACCGGGACATCGTGTTCATAAACTGGTGGTAATACTCCCTTGGCCGGCTCGCCGTATCCTGTTTCTACCCTCGTATCCTTCTTCTTCTTATGCGTCCTTCTTCCGATGAAGACGCCCAAGGTAACCAGCGCGATGACCCCGATAGCTGCGCCCACACCAATCCCAGCTTTCGCACCTGTCGATAGGGCGTCGTTGTCATTGTTCGAGGCTGATGCGGTGGGCGAAGGGCTGGGTGAACTGGAAGAGCTTGTCACAAGAGGACTGTTGGTGGAGGATTGAAGAGAAGATGAGACAGATGATGGAAGAGAAGAAGTCGAGAAAGAGCCCAAAAACACAGCATCGACCTGATATTTCGCGAGGCTGGTATCGCTGCAGCAAGCACTTGAATTGCCGCAGCACCAATAGACTGATGTACTGGTATTATCACATGGCGTAACCTGTACATCGTCTTTGCGTTGCTCTATCTGCGGATAGTCGTAAGCTGTTCGTGTTTATCAAGTCAAGATGCGGATTCTTAACTTACTGCACCCGTACACAGATCCTGGCAGCCTCCGGCTTCCCAGTTTGAGAGTGTGCATGTTTCTCGCCAGTACACGCCATTATAGCAAAGACCGTTTGGAAGGCACGTGTCCCAAACCGCGCAACATATGTGGCTGAGCGGATCTGATGTGTCGTTGGAGCAGGGGCGGTAGTTTTCTTTAGTGCCTTCGGATCGCTCGCTACCATCGGGCCAAAAACAGGATTGTGCGCAGGCCAGTGCAAGAAAGGAGAAAAGGAGTGGAATGCGCGAAGACATGCTGTATTGTGTTTGGTGTTGGGCAGGCTGGCAAGGCTGAGAAGTCAACACGGTCGGCGCACGCAAGAGCAAGAGGGGCCCGATGCCTTGTTATATTATGGGCAGATACTACAACATGCTTATGGGCTTGCGACAGTGCAAGCTTGATTGGATACGGCATCCTAACCGGCTCATGAGGCTTGCTGAGCTGTCTGGATCATGTTAAGTATTGGCTACCTCGCACGTCACCTGGCATGAGCTGAACTTGCCTTGCGTACGCCACAAAGCCACCAGGCGATGAATAGGATACCGACTTAATTACACTCGTATAAACAGCGGCCCCGTCACATACATATACGCAATACAGAGAACGGATGTAGATATCTCTCTTGATTCCAATTCCCAACATAATACATACGTATCTTCACCCCTTCATATCCCACCACTCTCCAATGAATCCCCAATTCCCCTTACAGCTCCCCACTGGTCTTTTCCCACCAACGCCATATGATGCTAGCACTATCCCATCCGAGCCATGTGGTCGAACGAACGTATTGGACTTCCGAACTGAAGAATTACAAAGAATAAGAATCTGAGAAAAGAGCTGTAATACATAAACTCGAATAAAGTATACCTTGCTTTCATCGTATACTATGAACGCTGTTGTTGGCCTCCATTGACGGGTCGAGACCGCTGATCACCAGAACCGTTAGTCGGAGGTGTTGCGAGTTGCATGGGGCTGCCGTAGCCGTCTAGTTGGAGGGATGGCTTGTTTCCGAGGTTACTTCGCTCGGTTGCGTCGGGGAAGGATAGGGTGGAGGTTTCGTCCATGGGCGTGAGGGTCTCTTCGACATCGGTGGTTGCGGGGGGTGGTGGCGGAGGCGGCGGCGCTGATTCCTGGTTTTCAGAACTTGTCCTTGTTCGCTTTGGTGAGCCGGATTGCGTCTCTTCGTCCCTCTTTCGCTTTAGGTCGGATGTGGAGTCGGTGGGAGAGGCGTCGTCGGCATCTCCGCTTGGTGCCTGGGGAGTGCTGGGTGACTCATTGGTGAGGTCGGATTTTGAACCACCTTGTGCGGCCTTGAGTCTCTGCCGCTCTTCCTTCTTCTTGACGGCCTTATCCATGAAGTCTTTTACGTATTTCTTGATGGTGTTCTCGTGGTTGGAACTGATCTTGGCTGTCGGGTCCTTGACGCGACCGGACTTGTAGTCGCCTCGTACAAGCTTCTGCGCCACCTCCTTGCTAAGTCTCTTGATCTCGGTCTTTTCGAGCTTCTTGCGATAATGGCTTGTCACGGTCATCACATGTGGTGAAAGCTGTGAGGGTCAGACATGCTTCACGGAATATTGGTGGTACTCACTGTCGCTTCATACACCTTCTCCTGCTTTTCTCTTGGCAGGGTACGCCACTTTTCACGACCGGAACTGGATTCCATATCCTCGTTAGCTACTGGCTGTGGGGTGGTAGATGCAGAAGGCCCGGTAGGTGTGCCGTTCGAGGTAATGCTGGATATGATGTCTTGCAATAGCTGGGTATCACTTCTAGCTTTGTTTGGCGGAGGAGGCGGGGCATCTGCAGGCTGCGTCGGCCGTTGCCATTGTGTGATGCCATTGGAGTTGTAGAAATATGTCGAGCCATTTTCAGCTGTTGCTTGGAACCAACCCTGGGGTAGGGCGTTGAACGGTCTTGGTCGCATGACTGGTCGCGCAGGAGCAAAGAAGCCAGCTGGGCCGCGAGGCGCATTTATCACGCCGCGAGGACCGGACGGGATGTTTGCTGCAGACGGACCTTTGGGTGCAATCGTAGACGGCGACTTTGACCTAGACCTAGATCGCTCACGGCCTCTCTCGCGTCGTTCGAAATGATTCTCGGTACGAGCTGGCGTGCCAGCGTTTGGATCTCTCTTCAAGCGCGGTATCCGGTAGCCAATCTCCAGCTTACTCCATGCGGTCAATAGCTTCTTCGCAGCCTCTTCTACTCGTTCCTCTCCGCAGTCCTTCACCTTGCTCACCGCGTCTTCGATTCCAGAGTCTTGGATCTTGTTGCGGGTAATGCGCGGCAGCCTGTGTAGAATATCCAGTATTTGCAGAACAACGTTATGATCTTCCTTCCATTTGTTCAAGGTTGTCTTCAAGAACTCGTAACCGTGAAATTGGACAATGCGATGGCCGATTCTCTCGTTGTCGGTTTGCATGCGGCTGAGAAGTTTGACAGTAATCCATTTCTCTTCGCAGCTGCGCAGAGCTGTCAGGACCTTGTTGACTGCGTCCTCTTCAAGTTCGCGTGGCTGCAAGTCGCTGATGTATTCCTCGTCATCCTCGCTGGCCTTCTTCTTGCGGGGCTTCTTGGCGACTGCCGTACCCCAACCAACACCATCATCGATTCCGAGCGCCGCAATCGTATCATTATTCAGGTTTGTCGCGTTGTCGGACTGTGTCTTTCCACCAATAAAGCCACTGCAGTTTGGCTCTCCACAGTAGCAGGGCTGCGGATCTGCGCCGTAGCGGTCGACGTTGTAGTTGAAGACGAGTTCTTCGCCTGCCTTGATGTTGCGCTCGACAAATATGCCCATACGCAGCTTGTCCCCAACAACCCATTTGTCAACGAAACAGTTCGGATTGCACGAGTGATTGCAAAAACGACCAAGGTTACCCTTCTTCGTCGCATCTACAAACTCCCCCTTGGTCAGAGACATGAAGTAGAAGTGCTTGATTCCCTCATCATCGTATTGGCCCATGCGGCGGCGGAAGGTGCGCTCGTCGATGACCTCGCCGATGTACTCAAAGACGAAATCGCCGGGAGCCATATTCTTGTTGGCGCGAAGACCGAAGCCCTTTTTCTCCGTCTTTATAACCGTGACGTCTGCGTATTGCTTCCGTTGAAAGCGCTGGTTCTGGCACTTGCGACCGCAGCTGCAGTCGCCTAAGCACTCCATCTTTGTCGCGCGGTTGATGCAGTCGGAGTCTTCGCCACAGGCATGGTTGGTCTTGGTTGTGGAGTCGTATTCTTCCTGGCAGTCGCATTCGAGCGCAGGGTCGGTCGTGCCGATGGTCTTGTTCGCGTAGGTGCATTCTGGGAGGACGACGAAGGTTTCTTTGGCGGCATCGGTCGAATCGGGGAGGTCGAGATATAGCGGTGGTGGGCGTGTGACGACTTTTTGGGAGGCGGAGCGCGAGAGCTTGGGGGCTTTGCCGGGTTCCATCTTCAGCGTAATATCTCCCCCCACGATCTCTTCATGGGCGCTGCCGGGTGACGGAGTATTGAGCTCGTGTTTTGCCATGGGCGACTGAGACTTGGATCGCGTCTTGAGCCTGGGAGGTATGGCGAGAGGCGTGGACGCGCGGTCGAGCGCATCTCCCTCCACCCTCACCTGCGTGGTGCTCTTGCCCTCACCTGCTCCTCCCGAGGTCGCGCCTTCCAGCTTCATCTCGCGTAGCTCCGGCTCGAGTTGAGCCGTGTTTTGGTCCGACTCGCTGTCCGACATATCGTTGAGAGGCGTGGGGGTGGTGGAAGGTGCTGAGGCAGAGGGTGGAGGATCGCGAGAATCTCAATGAGAGGGACGCTAACGGCCGATGTCCAATATCACACACGAA